GAGTCGTTCGAAAGAAGTTTCTATGCCCCTTGCTCATTTAACACTGCATCCGGGTGCCGGGAGATATAGCGACCCTTGCTCACTTATCATTGTGCTCAGGCCACACAGCGCGCCACTTACGGGTGACGCCCTAGCTTTAGCCATTTTGTTCTGAATTCATTTTTCATAAGGATTCGACGTGATCATGGAGTGCCGGCTGTCGACTACCTGACGCCCTCCCCCTCCTCCTTTATCCGGGCTTGGGACCGGCAATGTAAGTACATAGGCGGAGTTCCAGAAGGGAACACAAATGACACAATAAAATATTCCAGAATTTAGCCATCTCATCAGTCACTCATTAAATTGAACCGAAGTGAACAAAAGTGAAGTGAAAAAAGATCATTAAGATACATGTCAACATACAGAAAAACCTAAAAATGAAGCATCAGATCAATCAAGATTTATGGTAATGACACTCTAGTAAACTGTAAAACTTCCTCCATTCTATTGAGACCATTTCAAACAACAACTTATTCTAATTCAAGATCAATCTGTAAGTTCCACATAAATTGAGATTGTTAGAAACTCACCGGGGGTAAACAATCTCATAAACAAGGATAAGAAGTTGCAAGTTAAAATGCTATACAACCAATAGTTAATCCTTTCTGGGTAACAGTCACCAAATTTCTTTCTCTTTTATAGGTAAAAGAAAAAGAAGTTTGGTGAGGCAAAGATGAACTAAGGTAACAACGCACTGAAGAAACTGAGGCAACAATAAACCAAAGAAGCAATGTATTATGCCCATAATAAACTGTAGTAGCCATTAATCAAGGCAACAATATTATTCAAGAATAAAGTTAGGTAACCTTTAACTGAAACAACCATGACGAGGCATCAATACACCTGAGGCACCCATAACCGAAACCAACAGTAAATCGAGGCATCAATACAACCGAGGCAGCCAAAACCAAAACCAACAATAAACTGAGGCAACCGTAACCGAAACAAACAATAAACTGAGGCAACCACTAATCAAAGCATCAATACAACCAAGGCAACCATAAACGAAACCAACAATAAATCGAGTCAACCATAACCGAAACAAACAATAAACTGAGGCAAGCACTAATCGAGGCATCAATACAACCGAGACAACCATAACCGAAACCAACAATAAACCGACGCAACCACTAATCGAGGCAACCATAACTGAAACCAACAACAAACCGAGGCAACCACTAATTGAGGCATCAATACAACAGAGGCAACCATAACCGAAACAATAAACTGAGGCAAACACAACCAAAACCAACAACAAACTGAGGCATCAATACAAATGAGGAAACCATAACCGAAACCAACAATAAACCGAGACAACCATGGATGAGGCATCAAGATAATTGAGGCAACTATGAACTTCCACAAAAATATACTGACGCAACAATGATCAATGAAAACCATGAATTGTGGCAACATATATTGAGCCAACACTGAATCCTGGTATCAGGATAACTGAGCAACAAAATATTGAGAAAAAAATTGCGAAAAATCAAAGGCAAGAATGTATTGAGGCAACAATAACCAAGAAAAACATTAAAGGTTAATAGTACACCGAGGTATCATGAATTAAGGCAACTATCAACCACAATCATGAAATGAAGCAACCAAAATCAAAGCCAGCATTTATCAATTCAAATTCCACACCTACAAATTGTATACGAAAACAAAATAAACAGAGGATACACACAACGCTACTCAACTTGTGAAAATTTGGTCAAAATAAAATACGAAGGGGCACTTTTCCACACAACCATGAAATAATGAAATCAAAACCCTAAAACTGATAAGCTTCCCAATGAAATCAAAACCCTCAATTGCACGACAAAAAAAAAAAAAACGAAATTGATAGGTTTCCCAATCAAATCAAAACCCTAGAATGGTTTACCTGAGGTGATAGGCACAATCGATCTCGCAAAACCACCGGCCCGGTACCATGGAGAAAGACGCGCATCTTTCCAACTTCGTCTTCCTTCCAGATTGAAGACCTTCCACTTCGTCGTTGCTCTGCGTGCCGACTTTACGCGACCCACCCTAACGGTTGGAAATCAATATAAAGACACTCCCGGTCAAGTGCATCGTGCAAATTCAAATAAAGTCGGTGGCTCCCAATCACGTGATGGTCACGTGTCTTTAATTTCAATCATTAAATGAGACAAAATAATGATATTTTTTTGTTTTACAAATTATGGATAATTCATCTAATAATGTTTTTCCCCACTAGTTTGTGTTGGATCACAAGTCGATACACATGTTATAATATAAGTGATTGATAAATTTGATATGTTTCACTTTAAAATATATTTTTTAGTATCGAAGGTTTGCATACAAGAAAAAACTCTGATTAACTTGAACTTCCACTACGGTCATATTTTAATAATATTACGATTTAAGAACTTAATTAGTTTTGTCAAATATATATATATATATATATATATATATATATATATATAATTAAGTTCATCAATTATCCAAACAAATGACATGTCAAAATTTAGTATTTGTGTTACCCTTTTACTCATTTAGATCGCCTTAGCTCTACGTCATTCGGGTTCTTATTCATCTTTCCATGGATGCATCAATGAGACATGAAGTAAGAGTGCATGACTCATTCGTCTTGCTTCTCCAACCTCTTATGGATTCGTTTGGAAATACTTTTAAAATGACTGAAAGACGCTTTTAGATAAAATATTTTTTTATTCCAAAAGCATTTAAGATTTTTCTACAAGAAGCACCAGTTATGTGCTTCATGTACGAGACACTTCATGTGTTTTCCAAGATTCACTCACATTTTAACTAATGATTGGTTTCAAAAACATTTTCACATAAAACACTTAAGCCGTTTTAAAAGCAATTCCAAATTGACCCTACATGTGTTTATGCATGATATTTTATCTTACATTTTCTTCGATCCCCACAGATCCTTTGTTTGTTGTGCTTTAGGAACTGCTCCAAGCAAACTTATAATTCAAAACTATAATTCAAAACTATCTTTCTTGCAAACTTATAATCTCATGTCTGTTTCCCAAATAAGATTACAAGGTTCATGTCAACCTACTGCCGAACATGTTTTGTGATGGTGGACCGTAGGCGGAAGGATTAACGAGCACCGGAGTGATGATCTACGAAGGTTCCATCAACGTAGTGCTGAAAGTATTTGCTGAACATTGATGCATCCTTGATTGTGATTCAGGGACACTTCGCTCAGTGTAGAACTACAGATGACATGCTTGGTTGAGTTACTCTTTGCACACGTAAAAGCCCCACATACAAGCACCTTACAGCTTCAGAAAACCTCTTATCGATAAGTTCAAGTTGTTTATCTCGAATCCACAGAGTCCATGCCTCACATGTTAGAGTTCGCAGAGATATCCGGGAAGAGAAGTTTAAGCTTATTGGTTGATACAGTGAGCCAAAGAGAAGTTTAAGCTTATTGGTTGATATAGTGAGCCAAACGTATAGCTGAAGGTGAGAGCTGCAGTTACTAAATTGGGGTGTCTTAGAATAATCATGATGATCCGGCAAATAAGTATTTGAGTAAAGGAGCAACCACTGCTATACTCAAACTGTTCCCCAGTAATGCATAACTGCAGCATAAAATAAACGGACAGAAAACGTCAGTCTTGCCGAACAACCACTGTCATGCTTAACTGTAGAATCCAACAAAATGAGAAGCTGAAGAGTTTGTATTTTTCACTTATTGACTTGACACACAGCGAATAATTTTCATCAAATAAAAGGCACGGCATTGTTTATTTTCTGCTAAAATACAAATCAAGCTGAACCAGTGGATAAAATAATGGCATACCGCTGCCTGAGGCTTATCTGTTGTGGAAACTGAAATTCTTCCGGGAGAGAATGCAAATTAGCAACCTAAGTAGGTCAAGGGAAAATTATCAATTGACACACCGAAAACATGAAAACAAGAAACCAATAAATGGAGAAATCTACAAAAGATATGTATAATGATATCAGCATACCTCCCTTGGGGAAAAGTATCTAAGGTGCTGCTCCTTCAATGAAGATGTTTTATCCTTATTCTTTGGCTGCATATATGTCGCAATTTTGTAAATGTCAAGCAGCACAAAAGTCATTGGATATTGTTTCTTGATGAGTCATATTATGACCAGGAACAGAACTGTGAAGTACATGAACTCGAAATAGTGTTCCAACCTAATAAGTGCGGGAGTTCTTAAGTATCAAAACCTAACGTGTTCCAATAGTAATCCAAATGTGTAATCTTACCTGCAGAGTTGCCAAAAGGGAGCCTGTACCCTTCACATATCGATGGTAACTTTTTGTAAAACAACAACATCGTTTTGAATCAGGATAGACAATATCTAAGCTGCATTAAGGATTGCTTGAGAGAGAGAGAGAGAGAGAGAGAGAGAGAGAGAGCTATTCAATGAAAATAACATAAAGAATTAGAGATTTTCCTTATTATAGCCTCATTGCATTAACATCCATTATGCATAAAATTTCTGATTTTTCACTCTTAGAGAGTTTCTTAAGGTGGACCCCCAGACTGACGATATTCATGCTAAGAATTTATCAATAACGAAAAAGGATACCCATGGCACTTCCCCACCTCTCTATCAAGCTTAATGGAACAATGTACTGATCAACGATGCCGCTACAATATCCATTCCCTTCATCTTTCTCCAATATTCCATCAGTATCTGTAGAACTAGTAGTGGTGTCCACAAAATTGGAATCCGATTGGTCACTACAATTCTTGAATTCAAGAAAGCTTTCTATAGGCTCACAAGATTCAAGTAACTTATCCTGGCTCTTTTGTGGTTTATCAAGTTCACAGAGCACTGTCTCATCGGCATTTGTATCCCCAAATAATGGCCCTAGCGAGTGAAGAAGCTGATTATCGAAAACTTGATTATGAAAGGTTGAAGGTTTCCTCTTTGCCTGCAAGAAAAATGAATATATGTGTTAAAACTCAAGAGATTTCCAAGAGTTTCTGAATGACCTAGAGAACCAGTGAGAGAGGAGGGCTACCAGGCAAAAATAGCGTGGCCTGGAATACGGTACATCAAACTGTAACGGACTCAATATGAACTCCTGTGTAACAAAATTTGTTCTTCCCAATATCTCTATCATTTTTGTATGCGTATCAGATGTCTGCAGCCAGGAGATAAAACAAAGGAATTGGAATAAAAATAAATCAATATTTTACCTACAATTAAGCTAAAAATTCCAGAACTAGACCTCAAATCCGACAACATTTTCCACAAATAACATCATTGGAGGTCGAGATGTGTGTGGTATCAACTCAAGAATGTTGAGAAATGAAAATGCCCGAGCATCACCGGATTGCTTCTGAAGACCTATCCATAAGTAGCTAGTGAAAATCTATGCAAATTAATGTCACGCATCTTTTTATAGAACAATGATGACAAACTTACCTTGTCGAGTGTAAGGTTGGCAAGGAGGAGAAAGAAGCCATGCATCTGCCTGATAACGGTCGAGATCAGCAGCAGTAAGACTCTGAATATTACCCTATAAAAACAAGAATATTCAAACTTCAGTACACGATGAGCTCAAGTAAAAATCATGTCTGAGCAGTTGAAAAGCCAAACACTAGTAATGGAACAAATATAAAAGCAGCTTAAAATAACACCGGAACAAATGGTATAAATTCAAAATGACCCAATACAGAACCACTTGAAAAGCAATTTACACCAAATACCTTAAACAAATTGTAAAGCATCCAAAACATACAGCATCTAAGAGATAAGGCGCCTTTTGGGAACTGCTTATGGAGCGACTGAACGTGATTTTTGATAACCAAAAGCGCTTCTAACTACGTTTGGAAGAAAAGCTTTTACTGGGTCATAGAAGCGTGGGAAGCACTAAGCACTTGGATTTTCAATAACAATTTCAACGGATAAAAGCACTTCTATAAAAAGTGCTTAATACAAAACGGGCCCTAAGTGCAAGAAACTCAAATTGGCTAGCCATAAATTTCAAACTTTTGATCGTCAAGTAATCAAGCAACAAAATTTTGTACTTAGCTGTGCACAATGTACAAAATGGAGCTTGAATTTGGATAAAATTACAAAATTGAACTAAAAACTGGGAAGAACCTGATAGGGACGGTGGCCGAAATTGTGCTCGTAAACGTCATTGGCGGTGTCGTTGATGTCGAACGCTTCCACGACTTCGGCGTTCACTCCTGCCTTCATGAGCGAGTACCTCTGATAATCGGAAAGATGCAAACTTGAGCAAAAAGCGTTGAAGAATTCAAAAACTGGAAGCAAAAACTGAAAGAAAAAAAATGGTGTATTTGGGGTATTGGGTTTTCTATTACCATGCCGCCAATGCCGCTGTAGAACTCGAGGACCCGCCATGGCTGCTCTTCCAGTTCCTGCTGCTCTAAACCCTTCGCCATTAGCGTCGTCCTGCGGGTTGAAAGACCTCAACTGTTAATACGTTATAAGCTTTCAAGCGCAAACGACATGCCGTTTGTTCTCCGATGAGAATGTACAAGCAATGACGATTTTGTTTTGCGCAGGTTCTAAACGTTGCTAGGCGTAAATCTATCATATTTTAGGTAAATAAGTGTCTGCTTCTACTTAAAATATATATAATTTCATCATAAATTACAAAATAGAATGCATATATATCATGAAGTATTGGAACATAATGAAAACATGTGAAATAAGGATATAATGTTTGTTCATTCAAGTATGCAACAAGTCTCTTACAATTTATTGGAAAAAAACAAAATGCAAAATGAAAGTTATGTATTTTCTGTCTAAGTGAGTTGCAACCGAAGCGAGTCTAAGCGGGTGCCTAGGCGGGCTAGGCGGGTGCCTAGGTGGTCTAGGTGGTGGGCTGGGGCCTAGGCATTAATCGGGACGGTGGGCTGGGACCTAGGCGGCGCTAGGCGGGGATTTTTAGAACAGTGGTTTTGCATTTGCTAGAGGCTGAATTACAAGTTGTAATTTACTCCAATTTTCACTTACGTTCTTCTAATTATAATTCTTTTTATATTTTCATCCTTGTAATTTCGTAATTTTTCACCTTAGTCCAATTTGGCGGCTAACTTTATTCTTTTTCTTAATTTTATGTAAACACATTCTCATTTGAAAATGTCGAAATAAGTTTCGTCCCAAGTTAAAAAGTTGGACTAGTATTGTTGATGAAATACAACTACAAGTACAAAAATGAAGGAATAAAGTTACATGCACGAAAGTGAAATTCCAAGCAAGCATAATGAGGTTTATGACCGATACACGAAACAATGTTGTCATCAAACGCACCGCAAGAGAGACGAAATCGGTGAAAACACCAACATATGAAGTAATGGTGAAAACACGATCTCCAACAATTTAAATAGGTATAATAGTGAATAAGAGAAGAACAAAAAGCAACTAAGCACGATGCATCAAACCCCTTCAAATGCAAGGTCTAACCAGATTTAAAGAAAATGAAAAATTTTACAATAAGGTTTATGAAAATGATTGATTGGTGAATTGACGAACAAAAAGCAATGTGAAACTCATGTGTAAGAATGACTCAAACAAATCCTTATGTGTAGTGGTAAACCTACGCATAGTCATGAATCTGCAATTGATTGAAAGAAGAACCTTATGTAATTAATCTGATATTAACATTATGATCTAATGATAAGCTTAAGATATCAAGTTTGATATCAAATTATAGCTAACTCGTATTGCTAAATATATTTATTGACAAGGGACAAGACAACCGCAGGCACGAGGGGCAATATTGTCAAAATGCTTATTATCAAGAACAGAACGGGGACAGTCCAGTAATTTCACGCGTAGCAGAAGCAGCTAGAGCTAGGACTAGGCCCCCTCTATATATTTCTCCAGGAGGTTAGGTATTTGTCGACAGGCCTCACTCTCTCATCTCGTCTCCTCGCTTTTCTGTGGCTCTCTGCGTCTCTCAGGTGAACTCTCTAGGGTTTCATCACCCTTCTTTTCTCAATTAGAAGCCTAATTTTTTGCCATTTATCGCATCATAAATTACTTGGTTGCAGACTTGCACTAGAAAATTCGGAGTATTTTTTTTTTTTTTTGTCTTTTCGTTAAATTTTTTTTGTTTATATAATTGAATTCATTAGTTGGAAAGTTTGATGAGAAATAAAGTTATATATGTTTTCAATTTAGTTCGATGATGTGGTTATCGTGTCTTGCGCATGCATTTGGGTTTAGGGTTTGTGGAAATTTCGATAGGGTTTAAGGATTCGGAGCTCGATTTGTTTATTGATTAGGATTAGGATTGCTTTTGCATTTTCTGATCTGGGTTTGCTTGTATTATATAGATGATAAGATTTAATGTAATTAGTACTGGACTTGGAACTTAAAAATATGTCTGCCTGTTTAGATTCTTACATCTGTTAAGTGTTGCGGGTTTTGGGTGAAGCCGGGGCGGCTTCTGTGGTCAATATGATCGTTTTTCTGACTCCGGAAATACTTATTTACAGTTAGAACATATCATATTTGTACATGGGGTGATTGAGTAATAGTTGAGTAGATTTTTTTTCCACGTTTTTTATCGTTGAATTTACTAATATGGCTGTGGTTGGCTCAGTGAGGTGCAATTAGGTCCTTGTATCAGTGGTTATACTGGTTTGAGTTTTGTTTCTGGGAGACAAACAAATGACGAAGAAGAAGAACCCTTTGGTTTTTATGGATGTGTCCGTCGATGGTGATCCTTACGAAAGAATGGTTTTTGAGGTACTTTTCATGAACAAATATATTCAGTCTTTATTTGTTGTTCGTGTAAACTGTGTGATGAATGATGAGTTATTGTTGCTTGTCTCAGCTCCTGCTATGTGACTATTTATGCATTTCCTAATGAGCTTGACCTTTATAATTTCCTTGGTGATTGCTTTACAGCTTTTCTCTGATGTTGTTCCCAAGACTGCAGAAAATTTCCGTGCTCTATGCACAGGTAATATATATCATTTGGTTCAGAACTTATTTGTTATTCATATATACGGGATTCTGTAACAAACTTGTTTACATGAATTGCTCTATGGAATTGAACAATTCGTATAATCAATTTCTAGTATTGCTTCTGAGATTGCACTTTTTCCCCTTCTTTGGGGATGCTATAATATAGTACCAGACTAAAATCAGAAGGTTTGCTTTTCTCATGTATTTGTTGTTTTATTGAATACTTCAGGAGAGCAGGGAATCAGTCCAAAAAGTGGAAAACCACTGCACTACAAAGGGTCCTTTTTCCATCGTATTATAAAAGGTTATATAGCACAGGTATGCCTCCTTATCTTACTTCTAGATTCGTCTTCCATAGGATTTTCTGGTTGAGCATGACTTAGCAGTGGTTTGTCTTGTAGTCAGTTACTCTTGTTTATGCTGTAGGATACAGGGCTGATGGTCACGACTGCTTTTCTTGTGATATAGTTTTAAGGTTGTACTTACTAAGTTGTATATCCTTGAAATTTACTAGCTTTGTCATGCCCACCCAGTTTTGCATACACATTTCCTTTATAACTTAGAGGGATTAATGGATGTTGTCTGTTTTTCAGGGTGGCGATTTTGTCAAAAGAGATGGTAAGTATTATAATTATTTATTTCCTGCAGCTTTTGCATTTAATGTGCCACTCCAGCTTGCACATTAAACCTTGGCCAAATTCTTGTCTGAATTCAATGTTCTTTAATAAGAAAATCATTTATTTGGAGATGGACTGAGAAAAAAAAGTGTTGATAAATGTTGGTTTAAATAAAAAGGCACATAATTTCAAGAAATTTTATGAGAATTAATGGGTTGTTTTGGGTATGCAATACTTATTTTCAAGCAGTGATGTTTATAGTAGTGTTTGAGCGTATGATTACCAAAATGAGATGGCATAATGCAGCCTGTTTAAGATAAATGCTGTAATGATAAACATAATTTCAATTAGGCTTCCCATACTGATATACTCTTGGCTTTGAATATACAGAGAATTATATTTATGTTTATTGATTTGGAAATTTATGTTGGAAAATAGAGATGCTGATTGGAGATCAAGTTCTAAATGTTTTGCTATGTTTTAACTTTGATTTTTTTTTTTTTGGTTAAGTTCTGGAAAATTAGAAGGGTCTTGCTTGAGCTTAAAACGAAGGGGCATAAAACTAGGCAAAGAGAGATAATTGGAATAGGCTGTAAACACAATCAATTACAAAAGGCCTCTTCAATGGGATGGGGATCAATCCCTGGTGAGCTGACCTAGAAGCATAAAGGGGATCTTGGCTGTACAGGCAGTAGTAGGCATTGTGATATATTTTTTTGTTGAAATCATTTATGGATAATCACACTGAAAACCACAATTTTAAATTCCGGTGGAATAATTGATTTTGCTGTAGTATTATAAAAAACTACCAATGATGACCCTATTTTTGTAATGCTGCTCCCGAAATGCTGTTTACTCTAGTGATACCAAGCATAGTGGAAGGTCCCTTTTAATGTGACTTGAGTCTGAGTTTGACTGTGGTTTTTTTGTTTGATCTGTAGGCACAGCTGGTGAAAGCATTTATGGTGAGAAGTTTCCAGGTAATCTACAGTATCTGCATCACTATCTCTCTGTCTCGCAATATTTCTACAAGCTCAATTAACAACTCATGTTTATGAATAAACTATGATTGTAGCCCCTGTTCACTCTTTGTCTCTACTTTTTAAGTTTGTGATCATGTCTCACTGTCACAAGCTTCCTTCAGTAGGGATTGCAATACTCATTGCTCAAGGGAAGTGTAGTCTATAAACTGAGTTGAATTATCTTGAAATTGCCAAGTGTTCAATTAGTATGTGTGTTTTCTGGTGTAGTTAAGTTATTATTTCAATGCTATTTAATTTGGGACTTGTGAGTATTAATACCGTTAGTTAACTTTTCTTCAGATGAGTCACCTGTGCTAAAACACTCTGGACCTGGCCTTCTATCTATGCCTGTTGCTGTTCGTGACTCTTTAGGTTCTCATTTCAACATCACTTTTGCAGCTAATCGTAGTTTTGACAGGTATGCTTTCATTTTCTCTTCTTTTTACTTCTCTTTTACTGTAGACCTGATTTTGTTCGCTTTTGTGTAAGTTCTCTTACTGTTTGCCATTTAGTAGGCAGTTTTATAAATTGGTGGTACATGATTTCCTCAGACTGTTCAATATCTGATGAGATGATGTGTATTCTTCAGTCTAATTACAGTTGTATATCATTGTACAGAAAGCATATAGTTTTTGGGAAGCTTGTACAAGGGCATGAGGTCCTGAAAAAGATTGAAAATGCGGGCGATGAAGATGGGAAACCAACTGTATTAGTTAAAGTGATCAATTGTGGTGATTATAATGAAGGTAATAATAATGGATAAACTACTTAGTTGTATCTTACCTAATTTCTCAGCAATATGAAAAACTATTGGTATTAAGGGTTATTATTTTTATTTGATTGTTTGTATGTGCAGACATAAAGAGAGCAAGTAAAGTGAAAGTTGGGAAGGATGCT